ACGCTACTCACTGTCTCGTCTGTTTTAGTATCAACCAACTAGTGAACTAATGCAAATCCTGCATTTCAATTGGCTACGCTACGAGAGGACTATAGTCCTCGAGTAGCGAAATTGGCGCAATCGAGCGTGACGCTTTCTTTCGTTTTATTCCCAAATAAATATTTCTTCAACTTGCATTTGCTAACTTTATTATTGCCTTTTCTGTTCGACTAGTTGGGTGATACTAAAACAATTAGACCCTTCGCCCTCAAGGGCCACGAGTCAATAACCCATTCGGCGTCGCCTCATGGGCTATTGACCCGTAGCCCGCAAGAGCGTGGGCCGTGGGGTCTAATTGTTAAATAGATAGTGAGTGGCGTAGCAGTGTGCGGTTGTTAACAAAATGACAGCCACTTCTTTGCGTTTCCAAAGTGTCTGTTAAGAGGATTTAGATATAGTTTTGAACGACAAGTAGATCTAAACTAAAGCAATAAGATTAATCGCTCTCAATTTTATGCGTGATAGAAATCTCACGCTCATGACCACTTTGCTGTCTCTTGGATCAACGGTTGCATTAAGCCTTTTTTGAAGCAACGGTTGTTTCATAACTTCTCTGGAGATGAAGATGGCTCATACATTGTTGTCTGGCGCACGATTCTTGTCCCTTGTGGTTTTAGCAAATTTACGACATAGTTTCGTTTGTAGTTTGTTATTTGTACTTTTTTGCCGGCCGGCCTATTTCACTTAGGTTACGGCCACTGCCACCTCTCTTGTGCAACGGCGCGTGGAGTTGAACTGTAGCCATGAAATGCGGCTGTATCCGCAGGCCATATTTTTCTTTACTAACCTCAAATTATGTCCCCTTTCCCATTGAGGGAGAACGAATCCCATTGTAGGTCAAGTAAGTCGCAAGTTGCATTGCGAATTTAGCAGTCAAAAGTGCTTCCCAAGAAAGGGTATCCGCCCTTTCTGGCATATGAGGCTTTTATCTCCTCGTATTCTTTCACTGTTATAGTAACGGTCTCCAATGTTCTTTTTAGTAATTACCAGTTGTCTGAAGAAAAGGTGCGGGATCTCATGAGTGTGGCCGAAGAGCTGAAAGAAAAAGAGGCCAAGATTACACAGTTGAACCAAGAGGTTGAGGAGAAACAGGAAAGAATAACAGAACTGAGTCGGCTAGCAGAGGAGAGAGAAACTAACATCATGGAACTGTATCAGAGAGTCAAAGAAAACGAGCAAGAAATAACGAATCTTGCAAAACAGTCCGAGAACAAAGAGGAGAAGATTTCAGAACTGACCAAGTTAATACAGTCAAAGGAGGAGAAACTCGCCGACTTGAACTTGGAGGTACGAGACAGAAAGAAGGAAATTTCCGCGCTACAGGATTTAGTGAAGGAAAAGGACGATCTTTTGGCGAAGATAACTCAAAAGATCAAAGACAAAGAAGAGAG